ATGGCACCATCGACTTACTTGGGGCGAAATGATTAAATACAAACCGATAATGTGAATGTTACATATTAATAATCTAAATAAAGAATAATTTGACAAACACAAATTCAAAAATTTGCAAAACAAAATCATTTGCTCTTTTTTGGATATGAAACTTTTAAGATATCTGTATTCTTCGTTTAATTAAAAAATAAAATAAAGACAAACCAGACAGATTTTTTTCGCCTCTCCAGAGAATTATGTATAAAAATTAATATTCTTCTGGGTCGTAATTAATTGGCACTTTTATAAAATTAATTACGGGGAAAAATTTATATTAAAGAAAGCATGTTTCCGCTTGGACATAATTTTTTTTTTTCCCAGCTAAAAATTTTAATAAATAGATTTAGTCACTGCTAAATATAGAGAATGTATTTGATTTTCAATAATTATTCGAATTACCGCATACTTTTGTAATACATAATGGGGTGTTAAAATGTACAATTGATTTTTTTTACATTTTTATATCAACTTTTCACAGAGAATTGCAATTATAAAGTATTAACTTCTTTCCAGGGTTAGACGAGCATATCAAAAGGCATTGATTAAAAACAATCGCTCCACTGTGTGTGTGTGTGTGTGTGTGTGTGTGTGTGTGTGTAAAGTGTATATAAATATAAGTATGTATAATTATTTATATATTATATGCGCGGTACTTATTAGAAAGCGCTCAATATCAGAGATAGAGCTAACATATTTGGTTGGATAGATGTGAGTTTGTGACCCTGGGTTTCACGCTTTAGCGATCGTCAGACAAATATATATATATATATATATATATATATATATATATATATATATATATATATATATATATATATATATATATATATATATATATATATATATATATATATATATATATATATATATATATATATATATATATATATATATAAATATCGTAAAGATTAGTTGTTTATAAACATTAATTCGAAATGTGCTAACCAAACGATTCTTTGTGGCTGAATAGTTAACTGGCCATCAGATCAAATGATGGTTCCTATAAGAGGGTATAGGTTCGATTCCTGTCAGAGGAACGCATATTTTCTATGAAATTTCTCGAACATTCAGTCCGGTAAATGTAACTAATACTGTTTAATTAAAAATCATTTACCTAAATAAATTGTGTCTATTAAAATAGCGAATAAACAGATATCTATACCTATAAAAACAGAAGGCGTGTGTGTGCTATTTATGCACGTCCACATTTCTCGACCGATTTCGATGAAATTGTAGACACATGTTGCAAATTTACTAAGGTAGGTCTAAACTACCGTTTAAATCTCCAGCCTCCCCACGCCGCGTATGGTAGAAAAATCGATAAAAAATACGACTTTTTACAAAAACCAAGGCATAGTTACAACCCAGCAAGTATTTATTCTTTTTTTTATCCTTCTAAAGAATGCGCGTTGGCCCGTTCAAAATTTCCCGGAAGCCAACGTCTGCTAAATTTCATTTGTGGATCAGTTTTATATTTTATATCACTAGGATCCACTTGACTTATATACCAACGGATTTATTACATTTGCTTTATTATATATATATATATATATATATATATATATATATGTGTGTGTGTGTGTGTGTGTGTGTGTGTGTGTGTAGGGGGGAGTGCTTATTGGGATCAACACGACATAGGTGACAGAGACAGATAGAGAAAGAGAGAGTGAGAAAACGAATTGGGAGGAGAGTTCACACGGTTTGTAGAGCATTAAATTAAAACAAGTTTATGAAAAATAGAGAATATATTCAGTCAGCAATATAATTAACATCTGAGTCAGTTTTCCACCTCGAGCAAATCATCAGACCATAAAGAGTATATATATATATATATATATATATATATATATATATATATATATATATATATATATATATATATATATCTGTTTTGTTTTTTTTTTTAATCATTTCATCCCAAGCAAGGCGATAATGCCACTAAGACACGTAAGGGGCTACTGGGAGTAAAAGAGAATGAGAAGAATTTAGAAGTAAACCGGAAGTCCAGTCATATACAGGAAACAAGTGATAAACCTCTACTCTTGTTCAAAAGACCGCAACTTGATGAGAACCAGTTGATAAGTGAATCTATCTGCTCACTGAAAAATAAAATAGAAATAAATTAGAAAAAAAAGATTAAATAATACATTAAAAAAATTTGGTGTTCAAACTAAGATCACGTGCGATTCAAGGCCGTGTCTTCAGGTAGGATGAATTAATTATGTTTGTCTCCTTTATTTAGATTTTAAATTTGAACACATTTTAAATTGCGTTTTCACCTAAAAAAAATAAAAGGGAGAGAAAGCTTATCTGACATTCAGACAATTTACTTACTTACTTTTCGTGAATTACTATATACAAGGAACCATATACTAACAAGGAATAAACCTCTACTCCTGATGAAAAGACCATATACAGAGTGGGCCAAAATTAGGCTTACAATTGTTTAATTATTTGTCTCACGTTTTAGATGAAATCTATCCAAATTATAACTCCTTTCAGCTAGATTTGTGTCAATGTGTGTGTCATAGTGTTCTGGAAAGTTTCGTGGAATATTGCAAGGTTGATGGCAGACATTTTGAACACTTAAGAGATTAAACAGAGCTAAAAAAAAAATGTAAAGTGTTAAATAAATGTAAATAAATAGTTTTGAAGAAACATGATTGGAACAAAGAAATATCAAGGTAATAAAATGTTTTTTTTTAATGTAAAGTGCATACCTACTAACTTTTAAGCGTACTTTTGATCCCTCTATATATATATATATATATATATATATATATATATATATATATATATATATATATATATATATATATATAAAAGAGAGAGAGCGAGGTTATATTTAGGCATCACTGGTGAGATGGTTCAAATCCTTAAACAAACTAATATATCACTTTTCGTGAATTACTATATACAAGGAACCATATACTAACAAAGGAATGAACCTTTACTCCTGTTGAAAAGACCATATACAGAGTGGGCCAAAATTAGGCTTACAGTTGTTTCACTACTTGTCCCACGTTTTCGATGTAATCTATCCAAATCATAACTGTCATTTCAGCAAGATGGAGGCCCTCCCATTATGTTTTGGAAGTAAAGGCCTACCTTAACCAAAAATTTCCAGTGTTGGATTGGAAGAAGTGGATAGCATCCAATGGCCACCACATTCACCCGACCTAACACCGATGGAGTTTTTTTTTTTGTTTTTTTTTTTTTGTGGATGTCATAGAGAACAAGGTTTATGAGAGAAATCCCGGACGAATTAAAAGAGTACATCTCAGAAGTATTTACTGAAATTGATGTAAATCTGGATTTGTGTTGTGCTGTTTGTCATTGTGTACCGGAAAGGTTGAAGGAATGTTGCAATATTGAAGGAGGACATTTTGAGCTCTTGAGAGATTAAACAGAGCTAAAAAAAAAAAAAGTAAAATATTAAACAAATGTACATAAATAATTTTGAAGAAATATGATTGCAACAAAGAAATACCACTGTAATAATTTAAAAAAAAAAATGTAAGGTACACACCTACAAACTTTTAGCATATTTTTGGTCCACTTTGTATATATATATATATGTGTGTGTGTGTGTGTGTGTGTGTGTGTGTGTGTGTGTGTGTGTGTGTGTGTGTGTGTGTGCACAAAGAGAGAGAGGGGGTTATATTTAGGCATCATTGACATGGTTCAAAGTCCTTCAACAAAACAATATCTCTTCTTGAACTTCGGGCAGTTCATCCACAATTTTGAGCGCAATACTTATTCCAAAATCGTAAAAAAAAATGCCATAAAATATTAAAATTAGAAACATACAATAAAATATTTAAATTGGAAAAATACAATAAAAAGATTAAAAGTAAAAAAATACAATAAATAATTTAAAATTCGAAAAATACAATAGAAGATTAAAATTGAAAAAAATGAAAAAGAAGATTAAAATTGAAAAAAATACAATAAAAAATTAAAATTGGAAAAAATAAAATAAAAGGTTAAAATTAACAATACAATAACAGATTAAAATAAGAAAAATACAATAAAAAATGAAAATTAAAAAATACAATAAAATATTAAATTTCGAACAATACAATAAAAGATTAATATTGGAAAATACAATAAACGATTAAACAGTCTTTGTTTCATTTTAAGCAAATGTGTTTTATATATATATATATATATATATATATATATATATATATATATATATATATATATATATGAGTGAACATTGAAGTCAACACTCAGAGGGGACAGAGCGTTTCATGCTGGACGCAATTGTCAGGCCGTGAATCCAGCATTCTCGGCCTGACGACTGCGTCCAGCATGATACTAACAGTCGGCAACGTTAAGTAAAATTCTATTTGTCGCTAATTTCGAAATTGTGACTTTTTTTTCAGAAAAGGTAACGGTAGGTCGATTCCAAAACTGTTCGATGGTTTAACGTTTGTGTGCTTCCAAAATCAGAACTAGCTATATATTGCCACTAGTCACCGATCCACAAACAAGACCGACTCCTGCAGTAAAACGCTGGTCCAGCCAACTACTTCCCACCATGGCTATTGCTCGGTGTCAGCTCTCGTAATGTCTCATCTCGTCCAGCGTCATAGTTGACCACATGTCACCCACGAGACACGAATTGCTCCCATTCAGTTACCCGAAAAAGACATAGCATCAATATTCAAAATGAACAAAGGACATAAAAAGAAAGACGGCAGGAGGCTTAATGAAAGAAGTAGACAAGAGGAAGGAAGGAAGAAAGAATAAAGGAAGGAAGGAAAAGAATGGAAGGAAGGAAATAGGATCAAAGAAGAGAGATAATGAGAAGAGAGGTAGAGGGAAGGAAGAGGAAAGTGTATAAAAATAGGAAGGAAAGAAGGCAGGAAATGATTTGAAAGAAAAAATATAAAACAGAAAAAAATCATATGAAAGAAGAAGAACAAGATGAAAAAGTTAAGAGAGGAAAGAAATCATGTGAAAGGAAGGGAGAAAGAAGAAGAAACTAGGAAGGAAGGAAGGAAGGAAGGAAGGAAGGAAGGAAGGAAGAAAGAAGGAAGGAAGGAAAAAAGGAAGGAACGAAGGAAGGAACGAAGGAAGGAAGGAAGGAAAAAAGGAAGGAAAAAGGAAGGAAGGAAGGAAGGAAGGAAGGAAGGAAGGAAGGAAGGAAGGAAGGAAAAAGGAATAAAAAAGGAAGGAAGGAAGGAAGGAAGGAAGGAAAGAAGGAAGGGGGAAGGAAAAAAGGAAGGAAGGGGGAAGGAAAAAAGGAAGGAAGGGAAGGCGGGAGGAAGGGAAGGCGGGAGGAAGGGAAGGCGGGAGGAAGGGAAGGCGGGAGGAAGGTAAGTGAGAATGGAGGAAGGGGAAAATGAAGGAAGGAGAGAAGGAAGGAAAACATGTGAAATGAAGTGAGGAACCAGTGGAAAAGGGAAGGAGAAAGGAAGGATAGAAGAAGAGCAGGAAAACGAAAAAGGAGAGAAATCGTGTGAAAAGGATTTGAGGAACAAGTGGAATAAGGAAGGAAGGAAAGAAAGAAAGAAAGAAAGAAAGAAAGAAAGAAAGAAAGAAGAAGAGTAGGAAGGCGAAAAGGAAGGCGAAAAGGAAGGAAAAAGATTTGTGTGAAAAGGTTGAGAGGAACCAGTGGAAAAAGAAAGAAAGAAAGAAAGAAAGAAAGAAAGAAAGAAAGAAAGAAAGAAGAGTAGAGCGAGAAGGAAGGAAGGAAATCGTGTGAAAAGGATGTAAGGAACAAGTGGAAAAGGAAGGAAGGAAGGAAGGAAGGAAGGAAGGAAGGAAGGAAGGAAGAAAGGAAGGAGAAAAAAAGAATGATAGCAATGCGAGAAGGAAGGAGGCAAATCATGTGAAAAAGATGTTAGCAACAAGTGGAAAAGGAAGGAAGGAAGGAAAGGAAGGAAGGAAGGAAGGAAGGAAGGAAGGAAGGAAAGAAGGAAAGAGAGACGATAAGAGAGAAGGAAGAAAATCATGTGAAAATAGAAAGAAGGAACAAACGAACAAACGAACGAATGAAGGTAAAGAAAGAAAGAAAGAAAGAAAGAAAGAAAGAAAGAAAGAAAGAATGACGGAAGGAGAAAAGTAAGAAAGAAAGGAGAGAAAAAAAGAAATCATATAAATGAAGAGCTTTACTGATCAGTCACGAAGAACAGCAAGCAAGCAGACCCCCTCTTCACAGAGATTATTTCCTCGGAAGTTTAATATCACCTCAGTTTCGTAAACGAACATGAAAAAAAGCAATTTCTAAAGAACTGATTTATTTTCGATCCGAAAATCCCATTACTTCAAACGCTATTATCGTGGATACTTCGTATTTGAAACAGACCCCCAATTTCTTTTATTAAACAGCGTGTATTACATCCAATGACAATGTCAAATTGAAAATAAATCCACATGTGTAATAAGCAAGAATAATGGACTGACCAGGAATAAAATATCGCAAGATGCTTGTATGGCTTAATGTAAACTGAGTAAAAAGTAAGTAAATTATGATTTGAGCGTAGAAATGCATGAAAATTCATAGAAATGCGTCTTCATGTTTTTAATGATGAATGTAGAGCTATATTGGTTGAACCTGGTGATTAATCTAGAAGAGGGGACGTTCAGGGAAATAGCTAGACATTAAAAATTAATAAAAGTGGAAAATTTAAATAATTTTTTTGGCTAGCGTTGCAAAATGACTGATCCCGTCAAAGTCGATGGTGTTAAAATAAATGTCAACAGTTCTGAAACATGGGTTTTCTGAGCGGTACAGGAAAAAGGGGGCCTCTTCATGCTAGATTCTGCACATTTTGCAAAGCTCAATATTGCCCACCTTACAAAAAAAGTTACCAACACACCTAATGAAAACATTTCGAAAAGAAAATTTGTGTTCCATCATTGAAAAAGATGTATATAAAAATATATATATTGCATTATACATCATAAAAAATGACAGCTTTAAACAAATTCTTACTGTTTTCGAAGAGGATATATCACTGTTTTCAGATACGCTTTAATATTTGTTCAAACGTGGAATATTCTTGTCACATTTGCCCTGGTGACTCTGCTATGTATTTAGAGATTCTTGATAAAGCACAAAGAAGAATCTGAAATGTTATTGATCCTGAACTGGCATCTCGGCTTCACTCCCTTTTCCAACGCCGTAAAGTAGCTTCCCTCTGCCTTTTCTATAAATAGAGAATGGTAATTGTTCTGATGAGCTTTCCTATATGGTATCTAGGTTTTATGAATTTAAACGCAGCACTAGATTGGCGTCAAGATTTCATCCTCTTACAGTTGAGATAGCTACATGTAACCGTAAGTTCTATGCTAACAGTTTCTTCTATCACACGTTTCACTTGTGGTACTCTCTTCCGGCTTCTTGCTTCCCAGTCAGGTTTGATCTTCAAAAATTTAAATGCAACGTCAATCGTTATTTTCTGTCTTCTTAATTCTTGTTCTTTTATTGTTCTCTTTCCTGAAAAGAATATTTTTACACATTTTCTGTCACACTCCGTAACCCTTGAATCTTAGTTGCTTTATTGCCTTGCTTGTGATGAAATGATTAAAAAATGTGAAATTTGCAAGCTTATATAAATATATTTAAACATATAATTGCATTTAATTGTCAAAATCCTTTTCAGTCAGTTATGTGCCATGCGTGATACACGCTCAGGCGATCATGTATCTTTCTATGCAGATGTATCTTTACGAGGCAGATTTTTTTTCCCGCAGAAGGTTGCTATTTCTTTCTGCGGCAGATCAGTTGCCATCCAAAGCTATAGAAACCGATCTGTGCTGCTATTTACCCATAACTGGTGGGAGGGAGAGGATTTATACCTTTCCTAAGGTTATTAGCACGTGTTACCACTGAATTCGAATTCAGCTCTCCGATTCCTCAATCACAGCCGCTATCCATTACTCCACCATGCCTCCCGCTTCTAAAATATTACTTTGCATAATAAACTGTAACATTTTTTATTATCGTCACACCCGATACTGTGGGCGAGGCTGAACGTCAAGCAGGAAAAGCAATAAGTAAAGTGCAAGGATGAAAGTGTGAAAGAAATATCGTAGACAGACATTTGTGGAAAGGTTTACGCAGACGACATCTGAAAAGTGAATGATTCTGAATTTTAGCACAAAGACAAAAACCATATTTATCTTTTTTCTCTGACCCTAAATTTTATATCTGATGTTAGCACTTCCATTTTTGGCTTCCTCTTAACCTAATAAGTTTTCATTATCATCATCATCATCATATTATTATTATTATTATTATTATTTCCCTTCTTTTTACACTTCTTCCACGTCCTCTTCTTGTCCCTCCTACACTTCTTTCTTTTTTCTTTTTTCTTCATTCTCTTCCCCACCCCCTTCTTTCTCTTCTTCCTCCTCCGCAACTTCTCCTCGTCTTCTTCCTTGTCTTCTTTTTTTCTTCTTCCTCGTTTTCTTTTTCCTCGCCTTTTTCTTCTGTTTCTTCTTTCTCTTCTTCTTTATCTTCTTCCTCTTTCACTTATGTTCCTCTTCTTCATCATAATTATCTTCTTCCTTTTCTTCTTCATTTTTTTCTTGGCCTGCCCCTTCTTTTTCTTCTTCTTTTTCCCTCTTTTTTCTTTTCTTCTTCCTCACCTTCTGCATCTTCTTCCTCCTCTGCTGCCTCTTCTTCTTTTTCTTCTGCTTCTTCCACTTTTTCTTCTTCCTTTTCTTCTTCCTCTCTTTCTTTATTCTTCTTATTATTATTCTTCCTCATTATCATTTTTTCTTCTTTCTCTTCTTCTTCTTTTCTCCTCTTCTTCGTCGTCATCATCTTCTTCCTCCTCTTGTTCTACTCCCTTTACTTCTTCATCTTCTTCCTCTTTTATTTCTTGCTCTTCCTCTTCTTCTTCTTCTTCTTCCTTTGCTTTTTCCTCTTCTTTTTATTCTTCCCCTCCTTCTTTTTCCTCGTTATCATCTTCTTGAATGAGGCGTGTGATAACAACGCAAGAGCAGGAAGTAGGAAGTAATGATTATGAGAATAAGTAGAATGGATAACTTTTTAACCCAATACTTGAAGAAGTTACAATTATAATCATTAGGGAAGCATCTGCACGGGAGTATTCCATAAAGTAGCGGTTCTTGGGGAAGAGAAGATATATAGCTTCCTTATTACACGGAAGCAATGAGACTGATTCAGCCCTGTAGACGTATCACGGCAGTTCTAAAGGTTTAAACTGGCGGCACTAAAGAATGGAGCATGAACATTTCCTCTGGATATAGCGACAGAGATGTAATAATCTTGCGACGTCGAGTCTGAGATGAAAGGGTCTGCAACGCGGATAATAACGGACCTCCTACAGGACAGCGCAACCGATTTTGAACACTGCCAAAGCGGGAAAGTAGGGATTAAGCTGCCCCAGCCCAGAAATAGCGGCGATGCACTATTTTTTCTCTGATCCGAGTTTTGTAAAGATTAGTGAAACAAGACACCAGCAAATAAATATTTATAAAAAAAAAAAACCCTCTTAGATTACACGAAAGAGTTGTGCGAACAAAATATTTTTGTTAGAGTTTGCTTTAATTAACATCAATATCAACAAGCAAGGCAAGTGTCATGTATAAAGCAATTTCAGCAAATTATAAACATCTTTATTATTACGTACTTCGAAAGACACCCCACGAACTTCGGGATTTAGAGGTCTCCTGTATTTCATGTTTGAACAGAGTGCCTTGGTGATCTTAATTTTCTATTTTGCTATAGGGCCAACATTTCAACACATGCATCAGGGACATACTTCCAAATACCCGAATGACTTAAACAAATAGACTGCGAAACTGATTCTTAGAACGAAAGCAGTTTCGCAAATTGACGTCTGGTAAAATGATTACTTGCTTAGAGGCATGGAATATTATAGATTCTCTGACAAATTAAAATACCACTTGTCACTCCTCTGGAAAGAAAATTACAGGGGTAAACAAAAGACTGGGTATAATTTTCTGTGCTCCATCAGTTCTTTGACCATCATGGCTCTCCACAACTTCCCATCTATTGTAACTCTTAGCAATATTAGTCTTTTTCCTACACTTCCCATTACCTGTTCTGCCATTTACGCAAAACCGTTAGGTCTTTTATCCATTTTAACTTCAATATGCCATGTGGATGTCAAATTTTCTAAGCCTTCTTTCCAGATTATGCGTCCGAGAAATTTCAGCGATCCCTTTCAAAATTCCATGGCACGAATATTATGGCGAACCACTCTCATTCAATTCGAGCAGCTTCTTCTCTCGAACCACTCGAAAGGATGATTCCCCGACCACTTAATGCTTCTTAATCTGATCAAGTCTAGGGTTAACCGTTATCTTCCCCATATAACCGCATCAATCGTGCCTTTTTCTCTGTAATCCTCTACCTCAGGTGGCTCTTAGGCCTTGTACAGGGTGAACATTACGAGCTACTGTCACAGGTTCCCGGACTTCATGAATTTAAACGTGCTACCATACTGGGATCTTGGTCCCACCCTTTCACTGTCAAAACGTCTCTTCTACTCAAACAGCTTCTTCTCCTGCACTTCCCATCTGTGGAACTCCCTTCCCCTTACTTGCTTCCCCGAAGACTATAATCTTCAAATATTCAAGTGTAATGTCAAGCGATATCTGACACCCTGAGCTTGTTGCCCGTTCTCCTCTGTATCCTTTCCTCAAACACGCTTATTTACTCTTGTTCTCAATCCTCTGTAACCCCTTGCGTGCTAGTGGCACTTCTGCTTTGCTTGGGATGATTTGCCTTTAAAAAAAGAAAGAGAGAGTTTTCGTTTTGTTCTATTTTCTCTTGTTTATATTCTTTTGTTTCAATGCTCTGTCTAAGGCAGAGGTTCTCAACCATAGGAGAATTCCTCCCACTTTCAGAATTTCAGCCAGAGGTTACGGTAAAAAAAATCTTTTACTTTTCTTGTTTTTCCTTTACAGAATTTTGAGCCCATCGTGGCAATCAAAAAATAGACGGTACGATGAA